AGGGGGGGTAGGAACCGTCAATTTTACGAACACCGGAGCGCCCCCGGGTCATCCCATGACATTGGTTTCCAATGTCATGGAAACCAAGGTGATGTAATATATGTTCATACATTTCTTAGTTTAATAAATTACAATTATTAATATTGTTGTTGTTGTTGTTGTTGTCGGTCGTTATTATATACGGAGTACTCCCTAAAACAAATATGTTTAACCTAAATTATTTAAATTAACATGTGCAAAAAGTTCTTCTTCATTAATTATGTTGACGTGTTTGAAAATGTCTTTCAATTAATCAGATTCCCATCGAAGACATTATTGATGAAGAAAAGGATCCTTTTATTTCAGAGGAAGAAAAATCGAGGGCAAAAATGCTTAGGTTTGCTTCCTTTACTCTGCAATAGGGGTGAGCAAGTACCGAACTGATACCGAAATTTCCCGAAAAATCTGAGAATACCGAACTGAAAAATATCAAACCGAAAAAGTACCGAGAAGGAACCGAACCGCACCGAACCGAATGGTCGGTACGGTATTTGGGAACGGTACGAGGTGACGTCTCATACCGAAAATCCCGAACCGAACATATATACTAAAATATTATAAAGAATAATTTCCCGGAGTAATATTTTTATATTTCTTCACTAAATAATAATTTAAAAAATATATTGGTTCAAGTTCTATTATGTGTAAATTATACTTTTATTTGAGTTTTAGTTTTTGTGTAAGAACATAAAAGTATTCACAAAGATTCGAATTACACCTTTGATGTCGTTCATTTTTTTATTTTGTGAAACATAAACTAAGTTTTGATACGCATCTCTTGCATTTAAATATTCATTTTTTTAAATTTTTCATGTTTTTTTATTTAAATTTACTTTTAATTTTCAAAAATAAAGGGGCATTGTTAAATTTTAATGTGTAAAGTAGGTATGTATATTCATCCCGATTTGTACTGAAACCGATACCGAACCATCCCGGACCATACCGAACCGAAATTTCGAGATCGGTATGGAGTAAAATCTCATACCGAAATATTTGGTATGGTATCGGTACGAGCTAAATACCGTACCATACCGTACCATGCTCACCCCTACTCTGCAATATAAAAAAAATCTAGTGCTATTTGTACAGAATTTAAAAAAAAATGTTAGAAAGTGAAAAGTACGTGGTTCAAATTTATTTAGATGAGTGCAAATTTATTTCTCCACAACTTTCATTTAATTTAATTTTTCATTATCGAATACAACAATTTGACTATTAATGTGTCTGATCTTTTAATATATATATATATACACACACACGCACACACGCACACACACACACACACATATATATTATAGAAGCACATTTCAAATATCTTCTTTGGTATGTTTTCAAATGATTCTAGATATTCAGTATATTTTTCCATATATTATGATAAAAATTAAAAGTGTTGACAAACAAAAAAAAATCAAATGAAGAGAGTATCAAATGTCTAACTATATTCTCTTTATTGGGACAGAGAACGGAGAGCGGAGCTAGAGTTAAATGCCAAAAAGGTATTCCTATTTCGAGCCCATACATAGTAACTTTGTTCATAAATATTTGTCTAGTTTTGATTCTTTTTATATCAATATCTAATATTATTTTGATTTAAATTGAAATCAAAGTTTACCAATTTTGACCAAAAAAGTCAAAAATGGACAAATATTCTGGGACAGAGGGAGTACATACATTGAATCTTCTTGGTTACTAATTAACACCATTATTTATAATTATATACTAATAAAATCATAAAAAGTTATGGAGTACTCTTTTAATAAAGCACATTATGTAATCTATAATTATAATTATATACTAACCTATAGTTACATTAAACTTGACATATTTTAAAGTCGCACGCTGCCTTGTGCCCTTTTTTTATATAATCATAATTTATGTTAGTCAAATTTTTATGTATAAAAAGAACTCTAGTCCTAAACTCCAGACTCATTTTATAAACCTTAATATAAAAATACCACGAATGGCTTGGCTCTTTGAAAAAAATAATAGATGGAAGCACATGAAACTTGTAAAAAGATCCACATCTTAAACGTGAACCTTAAAATCATGGAAGTACAACGTAACTCTTATTAAAAACAAAAGGCAAAGTGTGAGACGTAAGCCTTAGTTTGATAAATTTCGTGTTTTGATGTGAAACCACTGCAATATTGCATGGAAAGATAAAGGAGAATTTAGAGTGACACTAAAAATAAGAGAGGTGGAGAAAAGAAAGACTATTTTGCTTACAAAGAGTGACATTAAAAACAGAGTGGCGTTAAAAACTACTCCCTCCGTCCCATAAAGATGGGTACATTTTGACTAAAGTAGAAATTAAGGAAGAGATAATTTTGTGTTGACTTTCCAAAAACACTCTTGATGTGATGGGTAAAGTATAATGTGATGTGTAGATTATTAGAAAAAAGGTATGATGTGATACGTAAGGTTTGAAAAAATAAGGGGTAAAAATGATTTTTTAATAGAAATGGGTAAGAGATTGTGGGACACAATTTTTTTGAAACGTGTAAATCTTTTTGGGACGGAGGGAGTATTTATCACCAATAAGTCAATAAGTTCCAGTACAAAGAAACGCACCCAAAATAAAGGAATACATTGAAACAAAGACAATATTATGTTTGCGTATAGAGTTTTATATATATATATATATATATATATATATATATATATATATATATATATATATATATATATACACATACACATATACGTGTGCACCTTAAGGTTCATGAAGAAGCGCAAATGGTTGCACAAAAAGTGGCACAAAAGGCTACACAAAAGGTTCATGAGGAAGTACAACAGGTTTACGACGAAGCACAAAAGGCCATGGCCATGGTGGGTGCGAGAGCGTATTTGCCACCTTCCCTGCCCCTATTGCCGCCAGCACCACCTTTGAATCGCCCACCATCGCTACCGCCGCTATCGCTACAAAAGGTATCTTTTCATTTCTATTGTTAGATTATGCAAAAACTACTCCCCAGTCCGCACATCAAATTATTTTTCACTTCTTTGTGGGAGGTCGGGCATGGCCTTGTACCCTTCTTTTGTAATCAAAATTTGTGGTAGTAATAGGATTTTAAAATAATAATAATATATAATAATAATAATAATACTAGTAATAATAATAATAATAATAATAATCAGGGCAAGGATCTTTTAACATTGAACATTGCATGTCAAAATGAGCCGAGATACCTACGGTACTCTATTGGTAAAATTTTCCTACCCCCTCCCCCAAATTTAACCCTTAACTAAATTTAATGTTTAATAACAGACGACTGTTGGTGAAGATGCTGACGAGATTCGCCAAGAAATGAATATAGTTCGGCTGGAGATCGCCACAGTACTAGAGAAAATTGATAGGGTTCGGGACAAAGTCGATATGATTCTCCAGACCAATGCAAAAATAGCCCGACACGAAGGCGATGGAGTTCGGAATGAAGCAGATAGTGTTAGGGTTGAGGCAGATGGGGCCCGCAGCCATGCCGCTGGTGTTCGGGCCAAAGCATACCGCTTTTGGCGTAGAGCTCAACGCGAAGATAATCAAGAGGAAGCAAAAAAGGTTCATGAGGAAGCACAGCGGGTTTGGAAAGAAGCAAATGACGCCCGAGTAAAATCAAATGAGGTCCGACAAGCAGCAAATGAAGTCCGACGGCGAGCATATTTATAACTTGACAACACGGTACAGAAAATCGGCATTCATGGAAAAGGGAAGGGCTGAGATTTATCAAGGCTCAAAATTCATTATTACTACTGTATAAAATAAGACTATTAGTGCCAAGAAATGTCGATCTTATACTACACATTTCATCTGATAGAACCGAAGAGCCCTATATATCATGGGCAATTAGTGAATTCATTACCAATATCAAACCAGTTAAAATGGAATCACTCCTTATTAGCACAGAAAACAGTGGACGTGTGTCATCCATTGCTAAATAAATAATTACTAGAATCATTTAAAAAGTACTAAAGCAAAGGGAAAATGGCAAAATCGCTCACTTTGCCATGCATGTATGTGTGCGTGATTGGAAGTGTATTTCTGAAGTCACACATAGATTTGAACACCTAGAAAGAAAAAGGGGGGCTTACACATAAATAACGCTCGTGTATGAATTAGTGTGGTTTTGGCTTGAATCCATCAACGGCAAAATTTCTGGTGGCTGCGGGTATGGCTAACCGAATTCCATCAAGTTCGGGCTTTGCGATTATTTGGCACCCGAGGCGTGAACTGCAGGAAGAAAACGTAAGCACAATCGGATTATCTAAGCCATTCAAGCAAGGCAAGTGCTTTAACAGAATTACACAGATGGAAAACCCACGTCTCTGTGAGGCCAAAAGCAAGATCCAACATGTCATATTCCTCGTCTGCTGGATCTTCTAATTTGTTGTAGTACTCCATATCCTATCATTGCATTAAAAAATGATGATGATCATGATGATGATGAGTATAAAAGACACATATAAGCCAAATTTGATGGCGCAATATTCTAAAAATTATCGGAGAGATGTTTGCGCATAAAGAAGAAATTATATGGAAATACTCCCTAATACATATACCATAACAATCACATGACAAGTTGAACAGGCAAGCGATCCTTCACATGCTCCTGCACAAGAACCAAAGGTTCGATAAGAGATCTGAAACAACTTTGGTATCCGGTTTGTCGATGTTGCGAACTTAGGTTTCAGATCTCGGGTTCAAAATTTAATTAGTTGTTGTTATTATTATTATTATTTTAATATAATTAATTATTATTATCTTTAGCTTCCTATTGCTATTATTATTAGCTTTCTATTATTATTAGGAATATTAATCGTTTCTTATTAGTAGTCTTGTTCTCTATTAGTTAACAGAATAAGAATTCATGTTTCCTAATATGATTATGATAGGTCTCTTGTAAGGCTTTGCCTATTTATCCTCACAATTATTAAGCAATTAAACAATATTTAGTTGTGGACTATGGGTTCCAAAGTTCTTCCTCTTCTAGCCACGGGCAAGAGAGGGGTTCTTCATCTACCTCAGGGATCTCTTTGGTTCCCTAAAAACTTCCAAGAATATAAAATAACCATGCAGAACACACCCATAAGGCTATGATTCCCTTTTCTTTTCTATTCACAACCTAGAAAACAAAATCTTTAACGGCAGAACACATTAAAGAGAAAGCACACTTGAGGTTACCTTCAAGTTCAATATCATTTTCATGTGCAGCTTCTAAGATAGACATCCCGATGGGTACCTTTATCTGTTGTTCTTCTCCATCCTTGTCTACAAATGTTACAGAAATTCTGCAAATTACAAACAAAAAAATTAAATAACATATTTAAGATGTAAAGTTTTTCAGACAATTTGGACCGACATCATCGTTGTTTACTGAATTGTTTTCCATAACTAAATAATTTAAGAAGGCACAACTAGCCTACCTAAACAAGTATGTTACTTGCGACTTCAAAAACCAAAAACAAAATTAAAGGGCACCATTTTACAAAGATCACCACTAACACTAAGGTGATCTACCACAGTGACACAGTATCACCTAGAACCTAGAGGTAATCACTTCAAGCAGTTCAATGGATACCAAGTATGAAGTTCAGCCTGTGTGATATGCGCAAAATTTGGATAGGGTGGGGGCATGTTTCAATTGATAAGGTGAAAATTGTAAATGGATTGGTTATTTTGTAACAAACTTACCTCACCAATATGGTGTAATCAAGTAAAGAAAGAAAGTAGGACTTAACAATGCTTAGTATTTATATATTCAAAAAGTTTAAAAGAACCCTTTGATATCTAATTTTTTCAGAGGAATAAAGATTGCACAGAAAAGCTATATACTTCTGCACTTCCTGAAATGCTTCACCTGTGTCCTTATTGCTGGCTGATGTACAAAATTGTTCCTGTATCTCAAATGAAAGATGAAATTAATCAAATCATTATCCAAATATAATAACAGTACTCCACCAAATTGTTATTGTTGAAATATTAGCAGATTTTATGCATATTGCTCCAATAAGTAATGAACTCGTGAATGAATGAAATGGTTACCTGCCCCTATTTGGCACTTCCAAAGAAAAGAAAAGCCAGAGGATAGAAATACACTTTAATTAGGATTAAACCAAGAGCACCAAACCATGATAAAACACTATATCATTGTAAGATCATTGAATCAAGTAGTAAATTATTTTGAACCAATGTTCTCAAGTAGTAAATTATTTCGAACCAAGGTGCAAAAAATCAAAATATTAGGATAAATATGATATGCAGATGAAAGAACTTCACCCTTGGTGAGAAAAAAAACCTGGGCCACAATTGTGGTGCCCCTAGTATAGTAATTCACAGATTACAATGCATAAAAAACTTCCATGGCCGTACCCCATGACAAGGTTCCTTCCTCTGAAATCTAGTTGCATTCCCACTTATACTGAGTACACTGTAACATTCTATTGCTGACCTTTTTTCTATTAACATAACAAGAAATGAAAAGTGTGTTACAGTTTTTTACATTTTATGAGACACTAAGTCTCATATGGAAGCTCAACAAGCTAAAATCCTTTTCAGATATAAGTACCCAAGGAGAAATTTAGTGCTGTAACTGAAAGAAGGCTGAGTTGTACATACCATATCGAGATCTAGAATTAAGCAGTACATTGTATGTGCAGCCATTTTCCGTGCTAGAAATCCTACAAGCCTGCAAATAGACTAGTGACTTATAACACGAACAAGAAAGATAAACGGGGTTGCAAGGAGATGGAGGGAATGATTGGAATCATTACAGGAATAGGTGAGAGCTTTCCAGCCACAGAACGGTGAGCAAGGCGATGGGCAAATCGGAGCCCTCTTGAAAGGACCATCTGAATCAGATAGAAAGCACAGAGCTTTTGTACAGTTGATTCTTGTGAGGAAGCTTTGGGAGACTTGCACAGGAGGATAACCGGAACCTATGTTAGCTTATTCTGATACGACTATAAAAGGTTAATTCGTACGTGCAGATTGGGTTTTTATAATACAGCTGATTTTACATTCCATACAGTTGGAATATGTAAACGGATACATTTATGTTTAATATGTTGACATTTTCAAAAATACTTGTAATGTGTGCACAAATTTTCAACAACAATGGTAGTTCAAAGTTTAAACTTCAAACTTTGAAGTTAAAAACAGTATGAGTCCAATAGCCACTGAACACGAATATAAAACACATCATAAGAAGATGTTAAAAAAAACAACACTAAGATCGAGTTTGGTAAAAAGCAACCAACACATTTATAAAACATAGTAATTGGGATGAAATGGGAAGAATGAATCTCACTTATACAGTTATATGAATGAAGATAGCATTTTGAAACTACTTGTCCACAAAACAGAGCTAGTGTTCTGTGTTTAATGTTAAATGTTAAGCACAGCAGTTCCAAGTTCAAGCATGTTGGCTACCCATTTTTTTCTTAATCTCCCTAGCCATTGTTAAGAAAGCCTGGTCTACAATGATGGAACCTTTTGCACCAGACTCGAGGAAGGTACGGAAAGCTCTTCCACAAATGCCTTTGCTGTCTCTGTGTCCACAAGACTGTTCTCCACGATATCACATTTATTAGTTATTACCTACTAAGAGCTTACATTGTTGAAGCTCTCTGTTTCAGTTACGTCATATACAATAATAATCCCATGTGCTCCACTACAGTAGCCGACTAGCCGTCTTTAGTGGTCCAAAAAACGTTCTTGAGTATTCCAAATTTGGAGGTTTATCATCTTCCCATCAGGCTCCACAATCCTAATTTCAAAATTAACTCCGTTTGTGCTAATATAACTTTCAATATATGAACTATTGGAAAATCTGAAAACACAAGACTTTCCAAGGTAAAAGTTGCCCATCAGCAACAGTTTGAACAAGTTATCATATTCCTTACTCGCGGCTTCCTTCCGGGAAAGAATTCTCATGATGGAGGTTAATTGAACTCAACTTCCATGTATCTCTTCAAAATCAAATGCATAAATCAAATCGGGTGTGGGAAAGGGTCGGTTCAAAGTGCCGAAGAAACTATAATCAACCTCGAAGTTTAATTACCAAAACACAAAAAAGCGATTGAAATTCGGAAAACGCACAGCACAAGCGGAGGTTGGAAGACATACCTGAGGCCTGAAGGGGTACCGCTGCGGTGCTATCCGCTGGGCCTGCGAAGCCGGATTCGGAATCCAGAGCTGGCTGTCACAGCTAGTGCCGAGTGCGATCCCGGCGGACCTGCGAAGCAGCAGTCGTGCGGAATGCGATTGCGGCGGCTGCGACCCGATTCTGAAACAACTACTCACTCCCTCGGTCAGGGACTTTGCTAGTGTTTTTTTTTACAATTTCTAATATAAAAAAAAACAATGTTCAAAATTTAATTCTAAATTCTCATGGTTTCAAAATGTTGTAATTACACTCCTTTTGATCATTTTTTTGTCATTTTCCAGTGAAGAAGAAGCGTTGGTACCTGTTTTCTAAACCGTGGAGGCACTCGTGCTAATTTCTAATTTTTTGTTTATTATTTGGTTTTTTAACTCTTTTTTTATCTATTTGCTTCTTCTTCATAGAAAAGTTTTTAAAATTTCTTTTCAATTTTAATCATATTTTTAAAATTTAAAATTATTTATGTTTGAAATAAAAATAAATAACATATACTCAATCTATCTCAAACTAAACATTTTCACTTTCTGTTTTCTAAAATCTTTTTTTGGGTAAGTTCAAAAATAAAATTCAAAACAAAAAATAAAAATATGAAAAAACGAAATGAAAAAAATTGAAACATGCAAAAAAATCTTAGACAAAAAAAAACAAAATGCCTAAAAAGTCTTTAGATTTGAAATGTCCAAAAGGATTCATTTTTCTTTTTTTGTTTTGTTTTATTTCTTATTTTATTCCTCATTTTTTAAAGTTGTCAAAAACATTTTTACTTTTTATTCTAGAAAATAAAAAATGAAATTTGCTAATTTGAGATGTACAGATACAATATACTCGTATGTTAACTATTTTCCAAACAAAAACAATTTTTAAAATTTAAGAACATTAAAAAAATTAAAAAGAAATTTAGCAAAACATGATTAATAAAACAAACCATGAACGGAAAAAAGGAGATATACAAAGAAAAAGAAGAAATGTAAGAAATGAACACTGGTGCCCCCTATGGTTTGAAAAAATATGCACTAATTGTAACACCCTAATCCGTCCAGGTCTGCAGCCCCTTTCGGATTAAAGTATTGATTTGGTAATCGTAAAAATTTAAAACATTTCAAACATTTTTATTTATAAATAATAATATTCCATACATAATTGTAGAAAATACGGAGTGTTTAATAATAATAATGCGGAAGCGACTTTCAAACATGTCTCATAACAACATAATTATTTATTTTGTTCAATGATCCACCACGACTGTCTCGCCCCTTCTGCTGCCAAGAA